ATGATTCTAAAAACTATCAACGTAAAAAAAGAAGTATTTTATTTGTAGTACAATATAAGTGTCGTGATAAAATACAAACAAGAACTATTTCAACTTTTTCATAAATATTTCAATGTAAATGTAATAATTTTTAAAATTGTAATCATAAACCAAATTATTATGCAATGTGTATTTTGAGAACCGAGAATTATTGATTGGGTTAATTTATTTAGAGCTGAAAGATCGATAGCGATCGAGCTCCGCCGTAGGATGTGGTCAGGAGAGGTGCACACACACAATAGACACCTTCCTTGAGCTTAATTATAAGTTTTATTACAAAAATAATGTGTTTTTCACGTTAACAATTACTTATTAACAATATACGAGTTTAACTGAACTTTATTGTAACAGAATAGAATTTATCGAGCGCTTCAAATGATTAGGATTTGCAAAATAGGAACGAGCGATAGTCGAGCACGTGTACTTGAGCGTCGCTAGAGCGTTAATAGCTGCAAACACGTTGTAGCCGGCGTCGGTAGACCTAGCATAATGATAGAGCAACTGTCATTGGCTAGGTTGGAGAAGAAGAGCTAGGATAGGGCGAGCAGATCGGGTGAGCTCGACGGAGCACGAGCTGGGACGAGAGCGAGTCCAACCGACAGGTTGCAATTAACCTCTCGCAACACAATGATTAATCGATGTGATATTCTAAGAACGACAGTAACAGGTGATACACTTGATTTAATATATCTATGTAAAGAATTGTAAGATTCTATGATTATTTCATAAAATTTTATGAATAACGTTTAGTATTCTTTAAAAAAGAATGATCTATGTGCAAAAGTATTATTAGTAGATCAGCATTTAATATGTTAAAAAACAAATTAGTTTAAGAAAATGTTATTTAGTTTTGTGAAAAAAAATATATTTTTTATGCACGTGATGAAAGTATTACTATGCAATGTGATTGTGATTCTAAGTCGATAAGTATTGCAAGTTCTATCATTAATAAATGTTAAATCATATTTAATTATTAATAATATTAGTATAAAATATGAAAAAATTATTAATTCGTAGTTTAGTAACTCGACATTTTGTATTTTTTTGAGTTAAAAAGATCTTAATATTACTTTTGTGAAAATGGCAACATGTATGATTAAAAAAGTTTAATATACACTGTATAACTTTATTATCACAGTTAAAAATAAATAAACATCTATAAACCTTTGTAAACGACATTCTTATTATTGCATTATCATGTTATTATTTTATCAAATCTTTTTACAGATAATAATCTAAATAGATGTATAGTAGATGTAATGTACACAATCAAAGCATATCAAAGATACCCATTCAAAGTAAACTGAAACAGAGTAGACTCAATAAATTACAACCCTGGTGGAAATATATCTACAACTTTCTACGTGACTCTACAACAAATTACAATTTTTGACAACATTTTGCATGGTTGTGTAAAATTGTAGTTTGTTGTAGATATATTTCCACCATGGAATATAATATAATAATCATGATATATATTAATTTTCGATACTTACTTATGAAAATAATTATTTATTATATGTCTCTGCTGATTTTGTATAAGTTGCTGATGAGTTTCAGGAATTTGATCATAAGCTCTTTGATTTATTAGCGATTGAGGAATTGCTCTTCTTGTCACATTATATAACACAGCGGATGCAATTATTGCATGCATACTCAACTCTGATTTAAAAAACCTGGAACCTATAGTTAAAACGGCGAACATTCGTCCCCAAACACCAAAACATCTCTCAACCATCGTTCGTGTTCGAATTTGTGATTCATTATAAAGGACTTCAGCTGGAGTCATAGGATTGTGCAATGGTGTCATAATAAATGGCACTTGAGAATATGCAGAATCACCTACAAGCAATGAGTTATAGAATTCACCGTTTTCGAATCGTCTTTTTATTCTAGAATTGTCAAATATGGTAGCATCGTGTGCCGATCCAGGCCAACGTGACACAATATCTATAATCTCCAATCTCGAATTGACAATGACTTGGGTGTTGATTGAAAAAAACGATTTCCTACTCCGGAATAACTCTGCATACTCTTCACCTGTAATATTGATACCTTAAATTGTAATAGTTTACATAATTGATTGAAATTATATACATGTATGTATATATCGCATTATAACAAGATGAGTTATTGTATATGAATACATACCATACGAACGAACCCGAACATGGACGCAATCGATAGCACCCAGGACACGAGGAAAGGCGGCTTGACTAAAATTTTGACTATGAATAGCTCTAATTTCTTGATGAGAAAGCGGTATATAGATGTAACATTCCCTCAATCCAGCAATTGCTTCTGATACTCTATGCACGATTCGCCAAACGCTAGTTTTGCTAATACCAGTAAAATCTCCTATTGTGATGTAAAATGATCCAGTAGCTAGAAATCTCATGGCTACAAGCATCTGGATCATTGGTGGAATCGCATTATTGCTGAAAATTGAAATGAATGTACATGAAATTGAAATGCCTAGAAATAATCTACTCATATGCGCTTAATATTAAATTTATTACATACAGTGGTGAGTCGGGAGTTATTCTTGCCTCTATTTGCTCAAAAACTTCCCTTGTCATTGCTTTGGTTAGGCGAAATCTTTGTACAAAATCTTCGTCATCAAAAGTATCGAACCAATTCATTCGAGGACGAATTATCCGAGGCCTTCTGACAATATCATCATCATCATCGTCAAAAAGAATCAGTAGCAAAAGATTATTCATTCTCCTGAACAAAATAAATCATAGCATACAGATAATATTTATGAGAAAAATTAATATAAATTGCAGTTACCTGCACTATATTGAGATAATTAAGAAGTTTATTTATCAATAAGTGATGATTAATGAGTGAATTAAGTGAAAGAAAAGTTATAAGGAGTAAAATTTACCTATTCAGTCTTATTCTTGTTTACAATCACTTTTGCCGGTCAACCATATTGAAATTTCTTTCCAAGAACATAAGTTACTTCACCAGAACTCGCCAGATGGCACAAATGGTAATTTCTTTTATTTTTGAAATTTTAAGTTGGTACACAATAGCAGTCTGCTATGTGGTGAAACTCGCCCTTAGTGGAATTTGTTTCATGTTGGCAGAAGTAAGTAACAAGTGACTTCATAGAGGATTTTACAATTTTTTGATGTTTACAACAATATGTGATTGTTATTAACAATCAAAAAACGTTTATTAGCGGTCCTTTCTTTGAGGTAGAATATTTTTAATGTGGGCAAAATGACGTGACTGATGCGTTTATTATTTTTCCCACAACTATGTTTTGTTCATAATGGTCTCCAATCATTGTGATCATTTCCAAAACGTTAATAAATTTCTGATTTTTTTCTGGGTAATATGATTTTATATCTTATACTTGATTGTTACATTTCAGCAGGCTGAATGTTTCGCAGTTTTTAACATAGAATTCATTTTATCTTCATTTATAGAAGTTAGTGGTGAATAGGATGGGAAAGAACTAGTGCTTTGTAGGTTATAATTTTTTTTTTTCAATCACCAATGAATGTTTTCTATTACCTATCAACTATTTTTATTGGAAGAACTACATTTCTCCGTTTGATTTATCAAAATTTCATGTTTCCTCTTTTGTTTGCTGTGAAAAGTCTCAAGAGTACAAACTATTTTTTTGGAAAGTTTGAGGAGCGCATTCAGATTTTTATATTAATTAATTTTTCGGGAGTAATTATGGGTTTTTCAAAAATGAGATTGACTTTTGAAATATATCGAAATAAATGCACATACATGTTTTTACACTAACTATATTTGTCGATACTGTCTATTTACATTATAAAAAAGATGGTTCATTGGTTTAACTTATTATCCACTAACTATTCATTTATAATATATTTTTAAATTCTAATTATATTAATTACAATTTTTTCGGAGATCTATGAATATAATGAATAGATAAAGTGCTTTTATTCCAATCAGCTTCCCAGCAATTGGGAAGTTTTATTACATGTATGAGTCGTTAAGATGATATTAAATATGCCAGCTCTATAAAGAGACTTTCAAGTATAAAACGTAATTCATCAGTTTTGGATACTCGATGTATGTATTGAGTATTGAATCCATATTTATTATTTCGAAGTGTTTTAACGAAAACACCACCAATCAAGTTATTATTGTGATTGAATTTTACGATGTTTTGTATTTCTCCGAATATATCGTTTTCGGTGCAAATGATAGAATTACCAAATTTTCAATTCCGTAATTCATGACACCGAAACTCTGATCCATCTAATGTACATTTTTTGAAACATTTAAGGATTTGGATTGTCTAGTTCTCTTAATTCTCTACGCTTTTGTTGTGTTGGTGGTCGCACATTCGATTTTCCAATTCCTATTATTTTTTTTTTTGTGTTCGAATTATTTAAATCAAGTTTAACGTTCATAATTTTCAAAATAAAATTTTTTTGCCTGTAGTAATACTTATGGATCATGATTCGTAAATATTATGAATTTTTCCATGAGAAAACGTGTTAGTATTTGATTTTTACGTCCATTAGAACTGGTAACAAATTCAATTATTTTTTTATTCTAGGCTTCGAATACAAAAGCTAAGTGACACCAAATAGGTCCCTAAACCCTTTACCGATTTTAATAAATGAGTTAAAAGATGTACATTAAAACTCGTGTTCTCATGACTCGTATATCGTTCTAAACCTGTACATATATTTTCTATATCGTTGCAGGGCGATTAAATTTATTGCGTGATATTGAATCAGAATCAAAATAATGTATTACTTTAGATAATTTGCTAAGATTTTCAATGTATCTACTTGAGCGTACATTTTTTAAATATACTGGTGCGTAATCTAACCAATTTCGCCATTTTTAAGCTTTCCAATTTTTGTACGTAGTAATGGATGTTGGCTTCCACGATCGTTGAGAAGAATGTTTTATTTATTTTGAACACCGATCAATTATTTGTAGACTACTGGGATCACTCATATAATATGGAGTGTTGTTGATGTCGAAAGTAATTCTGGTTGTTGTCTAGCAACGCTTAAATCAACTACATGCATCGATTCTACTATGATAGCTATACACATTTTAAATGGCGGTATAGCTATCAATGGTGAATAACCTTGAATTCCATTTCTTTCTTCATTATGATCTAAATCATGCACCATGTCAACTAATAAATCATCATTGTTCCGTAATTGGCCATAGCACATATTAAAAGGGTATACTCGCTTTCCAGGACCCAAACTGTTGCCTCTAGCATAAAAATGTAGACATTCGTATTTACCATTGAGTTGAGTTGTACACGTAACTGCTCAAGCTGGCGAATCTACACTGCATAGAGTAACTACAAATTTTAATATTTTTGTTCCTTCAGAAGATGTCCATGTGATTTCTTCTCTATATAGTTTTCGTAGTTTATCTGCAAAAGGACGTAATAAAAAATCTATTACTGGGTGTTCGTTATCAACATGAATTGCTGCAAGTAGCATATACTTCTTTCGTAGACGAGGTGGAAGTTCATTAATCATTGCATAAGAGGCCAAGCACTCGTATTTAAAGATTTCAACATCTTGCATTCATCTGTATTGAGAGTTAATGAAAAATTATACCAACTTTCGAGGATATTCCCCTCTGAACTCTATGATTGATATTCTTCACCATCATGAATGTACTTCATACCTTTTATATTTAGTCTTTTTGAATCTCTATATTTTAATGAGCGTTTAATATTTGGTATACTCAGTAGTTAATTTAGTTGAGATGTTAGAGATATATATTTGAAGGACTTAAGACGCAAATTTTCTTCATGTGGACCACATAATCCACAATGACATGTCTGAGTGAATTTGTTTGTTACTGGAAATTTCTTACTCAAGAATCCTGTACAACTAGCACAATAAAAATATTCTAAAATATTTGTATGTCGCTATCTGATGACTAATAGACTAACGACAGTTTTGTAAGTTGTTGACGTTGCTTGACGATGAGAATGTTTATAGCAACGCAGGGCGAGTTGGTTTATCTCTAGTTTTTGACTGAGACTTGAGTTGACCGGATGACTTCTCTTTTATTAATTAATAGCTGTCAATTTCAAATAAACGTGTTCATCATTCACTAACAAATAATTTTTTACACTAACACGATGGTCAATCGTTATCGGAGAATTATAATTTCCTACATTACGCACGTTAAATAACGGATTATCACATTCTGGATCAACAATCCCGTCATCATCATCATCACCATTATCATCATCATCACTATCAATATTACTACCGGTACTATCATCACGACCATTGTCTCCATCGTCTCTTTCGTTGTTATTATTATTATCGATATTTCTTTCGTTATGACTATTATGTCCATTGTTATTATCATGATCATCCACACTTTTTGTTGAATTTCTACGTTGTTCTGAATGTATGCTCATGTTTCTTTCATTGTCTTTAGTTCGACTAGTTGAAGGCTGAAATAAAAATAAACGTTTATTTTTAATAATTCAATGTTGTTCAATAATCGTGTAAATATATAAAATTCTTAACAAAAATCATTGTAACAATTAATGTTGTGACGTAAAGCCAAGAAAATTTTTCTCAGCAATAGAAAATAAGCTCGAGTGCCGGAATGTAAGAAGGAATGAGGAGGGATCACGAAAAAATTTTAAATTATCCAATTTTTCAATAAATACACTAATTTATTTATGTTTTAGTACACCAGTCAAAATTTTCCTCTCTATTATATTAATGGATTCGTATGAATGAGATCTTTTTATTGCACTAGTTAAAATCAATTAATTATTCAGGAGTAAAATAATTGATTTTTCATATGGTGGACCTGATTCCGCATTTCTAGGCATTGAGACGAAGAGAATAAGTGGTCAAACTTGAAAATCGGACAACTTTTTTTTTCAACCCCAAAAAATGGATAGTGGGACCCTAGTTTAACCCCTTTCCATTTTTTTCAGTCAACAAATCAAAGTACTCCAATTTTGATGATCAAGGACTCATTCTCGTTGTCTTAAAGCGTAAAAATGCGAAATTGGAGCACAGCTTGAAAAAATTCACTTTAACAGCTTTAAAAACGGGTAAAACTATACAAATAAAAAATCATCATCCTCTTGACTTTAAACCCCTATAACTCATGAACGGAAGGTCCAATAGCCGTTTTTAGGGACGCTTTAGAAACTTCAGAATCTAAGCTAAATATGTATACCCATGAGAAATGTTGTGCAGAAAAACTCACGGTATTCAGTCGAATCAATATCAGTCAGCTCAATAATTGTCTTTCGGACAAACCTGAACATTAATCATCACTTTCAGCCGTGCTGGTGGTCCAGCAATAGTAGTTGTGTGTCTTTGGGCGCGAATCTGTTCTGGCGTCGACGCCATAGTGCCTCACGGACAGTCACACATACATCACACACCCGAACGACTCCGGTGTATTGTGTGCCTGTTGCTACACGTGGTCTGAGATAGACATTTTGTACGAAGTTAGTGATTAAGTACATCTATATTCATAGTTTAAGTGTTGTTTATTAATAGAGAGTAAAAAACAGAGATGATTGTGTGTCTTAAAAGTGCTTTCAAGAACCTTCTAGCATCCAACCTCGTGCATTAATCCTACAGTCCACTAAATCTGATTCTTCTCTTAACGGCCGACTCAAAGTCAGAACAGAGCCCTATAAATCATTGAGAATAACTTTTGTTTTAATTGTTATAATAAGTTTATGTGATTATAACATTATAATAATATTATAGCCACAATGTACGATTTATATACTGGTAGCTTCATATATATGTATCATGTCAGAAAATTTTAAATATTATTAAAATAAATGCAATATTATTATAGTGTCATTATTATATTCACGCTAATAAATGTAACAATGAAGACATTGAGAAATATATTAATGTATAACATCCAATTGACATAAATTAAAATAGATTTGGCGCATAAAGGAATTCGTCCTTTACGGTAAAGTTGAACTGCATAAATATTTTCACTGGAAGCGTAAAGTAAATTTTACTGTACAGGCCGACCGTCCCTATTTTTACTTACTTGTCTTATCACTACACTACTACAGTACCGAACATAAATGCTGTTCAATTTTTTAAAGGCTATACGTGTCCGTCCTATAGAATAATTTTGAAGAAAAAAAAAAATTGAGTCATCGATAGTTTCGGAAAAAAAATCAGATCGAACGCTTACATGATATAGATAATTTTAGAAAACAATGTGATTATTTTCTAAGCAAATTCAAATCAAAATTTCACTAAGAAACCAATAGTCATTGATAATATCAGAATGAATTGAAAAATGCGCATTTCATATCAAAAATACAGATTATACTCAAATATTAATTTGGAAATTAATCGTTCATTTCGAAAAAAAAAAAAAATAAAAACAATTTCGTCATGTTCTACAGTAGTTATTTGATAACAATATTTTTAAAATTATAATTTTTTTCTGACCCGTTCTTTGCTCATTCTGAAAGACTCTCTCGAAGCGTCTATAATTTCCTATTCCATACTCCATAATTGAGTCCTGTTATAGCGAGAGAAGGACTTAACTATGAGCTCCCAAATTAAAAATCAATATTTCGTCGTAAATCCGACTATTTCGATTTATTTCATTGTATGCGCCAGAACCACTTAAAGAACTCTCATGAGTAAAACAGAAAGTCTATACACATGCGTAACGTATAGAAATGTGTGCGTGCAAGTTAATCAACATTTTATAACATTCGTTATAACAGTAAAAAATGAAATGAGCAGAGTACAAACAGTAGATTAGGTCGAGCGAGAAATTCTTATTATTCAAGAATAGTAATGTTCTGACTTGGAGGGGCCCAAGTCAGTTAGTCAGGAATAATCAAAATTTCTTAATGCCGGACTTGTCCACCGGCGCGTCAGTCAACTCCCTGGACCAATCATCGGGAAGTATTTCCCTCATGGCCCAGAAGGCAACTCGACGGCCCTAGTGACGCCAACAAGCACGCGGTCGAGCACTTGTGGCGTCAGTTAGCTCCAGGCAAATCACGCGGTCATCTCTGTATACTTTCTCTCAGTCAAATCACGGTTTTGTGCAGTCAGCTCACCCTTGGTAGTACCAAAGACGGTCAAGTAGACTCAGACAACTCTCACGAACATACGTGAATCACCGAAATTACTCTCATCAGTGCCAGTGGTCCAGTATAGTCAGTTGTAGTGTCTTTGGGCGCAAAGCTCAACTGGCGTCGACGCCATAGAGCCTCACGGACATTCACATATACATCGCACCCCCGAACAACTCTGGTGTATACTGTGAATGTTGCTATTCACTGTTTTGAGACTATTTTTTTGGTGAAAAAATAACCATCAGACAATTCATAAGTGTATGAACAATTAATGTACAGTTAATTCACCTAAACTCAGTGATTATTACCTTCTATTGTTTAAGTTAAGTGTTATTGTTGAATAAAATCTATAAAACCCAAGCAATTCGGTGTTAATAAACTATTTTTTGGAACCTTCTAGCATCCAACCTTTTGTTCTTATTCTGCTCTCAATTATTACAGTCCACTAAGTTAGTTTTCTCGTCCGGCCGACTCGAAGTCAGAACAAGTAATAATTGAAATTTTTACAATAACAATATTAAAATGATGTTTTTGGAGTTCAAGTAAATTTTACCAAAAATTCAAACACTAAACTCTTCATCTAAACATATCTATAACAATTTAAATTCTCTATTTATTTAGATGTACTCATTTCTGACCTGCTTCTTTTGATTCATATTTCATACAAAGAAAATCATTAATTTATCTAATTATATTGTGTAATCTCGAGCTTCGATAAATTTGTTGTTATTTATTATTTAACGATGAGATCATTTCCGACCGAACTACCTTATATAATGAACAGCAAAAGAATGAACAGTCTACTATTCTGTCCGTATAAAATTGTCACTTTTAAAAGTTTCTGTTCATTGCCGAAAAATGATTTTTTTTCAAATATTTGTGCGTTAGCTGAATATTTACTGATTCGCGATTAAAATTACCTCCTTTTTATATAAGCTCAGTTATAGAGCTAAAATTTTATTTATTACTTACTAGTCGTCTTTTTCGTTCGTGCGCTTTTTTTGACTATCATGTGAACTCTTGTATAGAAATATCACTACGTTCTGTCAATAACTACTCTTTTTTCTTTATCTTTATTTAGGTTAAATTCGTAGGTAATACTCTTCTGAACTAAATCATTCTTGTTTTCCTGTCCTAAGGAGGACATTTTATTCGAGTACTTCGCCTTATAGAGCATAACTCTGGGAATAGCTCTACTTCTAGTGACGGCGTTACTTGGGACGTAATATTCTTGCACCTTTGAAAAGGCACAAGGATACACGCATCTGGCTCTAGGCCTTGCAACACACCACTACGAGTCAAACCTCAATTGACCGAAAGCACCCGGTTCCTACATATCGTTCTTCGACTTTGCAGCTCCGGTTGCGGGCTTGGATTTCAGTCTCCCGTAGTACCAATTTTATCCGCTTTGGTCAGTGACTCTAGTTGTTTATGGTGTTCGCACCATTATATTGTCGACAGCTGAAAGAAATGAATGTTTAGTATAAGGCGTTTCATGAAATATGTAGAAGTTTTTATTCAAGATTGTTGAGAACCTGAAAAGTAAAGTAAAAAGATAGAGACAAAAGTAAAAGAAAAACGAAAAAAGCAGGAAAAGGGAGTAAATGGAGAATAAAATCTCTATCCATTTGATCCAAAGGTTACAAGTGTTTTGCGAAGATTGCAGGCCTGCAACCTGTGCCTAGGTTCTCCGACAACACCCAGGTTTGGATCAATAAAGTTCACGGGCTGTAGTTCACAGCACTGGTAATGATAACCTACTACTTCTACGGGGTAGAGGATTCTGTGTGTTGGGTATCACTAATCCCGTTCGCGCTACCCTTTTTTTTCTCTACCCACCTCGTGGATTCTTTTGATTTCCTCGAACAATATCTCTTCCGCGCACGCCTTAACAAATTGTTCGAGTGCCTTACATGTGTCGTTTGTTTGGACGAATTTGGGCCCTATTTCGGGCCATGTTAGGCTGCGGTAAACGTTCGTTTCCGAACGTATGACCGATATGAGTTTCCTACGTTTGTCTCTATATGCGGGACAGTGCAACAGGAAGTGCTCCACTGTGTCATCGTTTCTTCTATTGCAATTAGAGCAGGTTGGGTCTGTTTCGGTAGCGTATTGTGCACGATGTGCACGAAATATGTCATGTCCGATGAATATTGGCGTCATCAGGTTGTTCAGGCGTATCGAATTATTATCGAGCCTATCGGCTATGTTTGGTAAGAATGGGTGTGTTTCGCGACCCATCTCGGACGCATCCCCTTCTGCCTACCATATGTGTTTGTAACCTGAGGTTCATCATCGGTGTCGACGATTATTCTGACGTATTGTCATTCAGAGAAATTCTGACATTGTTGTACGTAACTGCTTCGTCGGTACGAAGTGTAATCGGGCATTGAGATCACCGATCGCTATGCGTATAGGCGGGACGACTACCGCCACGCAGAGGCCGTCTCTCGGGGGAGATGCGCGATCGTGCGCGACAACTTCCAAGACGCCCCTCTCCGCGGCTGCAAGCGTCAGCCAATCTGTAGCGTTACATAAATCGCTCCATGCCGGGGACACATAAGCGACCACCGGCAGGAAGCACCCCCTATATATAGCTAGACACGCGTAGCCACTTTTGTGACTGAGCCAGTTCCCCATGATAAGCTAACTGTAGGGTCTGTAAAGTAATTTTGCATCACTTTGTAGACATTTTTAGGGCAGTTTTGTGACTTTAGTCTTTTGAGGACTAAAGGCCACTATACATTATCAAACGCGCCTGAAATATTGAAGAGCAATAAAACCACGTTACGTTTTGTAAACTCTTGCACTGCTCTTCGTACTGTTAGTATTGCATCTACCGTGGATCACCCTTCTATGAATCCATATTGGTGATCTGAGATGTTTACTTGTTGAAAGACGCTAATTTAAAGACGAATTTTTATGAGTCATTCGAAGATTTTGCTTAGTACTCATAGAAGACATCTAGGTCGATATGACTTAGGGTCTGCTATATCTTTGTCGGGACTCTTTAGGAACATAGGAATTGTTCCCTCCTTCTGAACCCGAGGAAAGATGCCTTGGGACAAGCATTCGTTGAAAACTGTGAGAAATTTTTCTGGGAGGTACGCAATTGCACGTTTAACAACCTCCACTTCCAGCAAGTCTAGCCCTGTGGCTTTTTTTTTCTTAAGCATTCGAATGACTTGCTTGAGT